GATGACCCACAGAGGTCCCTTCCAACCCCTACTATTCTGTGATTCTGTGATTCTGTGAAGAGACTGATATTCTTAAATGTTGAAACTGTGACAAACATTTTTAAACATGATCATGTCTTGTTGAAGAGCAAACTAAAATGACAAGAACTGGAAAATCCAGTCCTCCTGGAATGGCAGCCTGTTGCGTAGGTTTTCAGTGCAAGTGTGGAGTGATACTGGTTATGCTGCAGATTTTTTGTGGTAAATATCTAGTTTGTGTAAAAAGTAACTTACTGGATAGTTGAGTGAATTAATTGCCCTTACAGAAATCTTTATTTATATGTACTTTTAAATTTCTCAGTCCTTGAAAGACAGTCGACAAAATACTTTCACTCTGTTGTGCATGAAAGTTAGAAGAAGTGCTTTCAGACCAAAATGATCTTCTAATAACCTTACATTTTGCAAAAAGTAGTGCAACCTACATCAGTTTACTCTGGCATAAAGAGCCCAAGTGTTTTGTAAAGTCAGTACAAAAAAGGTAGGAGCCTTCACATGGTCTTTAAATTAGTAGATGTTAACCTATCCCATTTTCCATGAACTATGAACTAAACTTGTTTGTGTTAGACTAGCTAGAGATCTAAAAAAGATCTCTTTTGTTTAATTATTTGTAAAAATAAAGTAAATCCTTGAAAATAAATCTTTAAATAAATGCCTCCTTTTTACATAGGGAAAAATAAACCTTGAAACACGTCTGGTCCCTCTTTTGCAGGCATGAGATTTCTGGGTTTGTGTGTGAATTTTTGTATTTACCGTGAAGGAAAGCAGCTCTTGTCCTTTTAAATGGGCTAACTAACTGTATACTAAGTTGTAATCAGAAGTGAGTTCTAAATTCTTGTTTAGTGAACCCAATAGACATCCTCAGAATGTAAAATAAATGTGCTTTGCTCATTTTGGTGTAATTGCAGGCCTGTTGACCCACTTCCCTTAACATACATTTGATAGCAAGGAATTTGCTGGGGTTGCTTTGTTTTATGTATGTAGGCAGTCTGCTATTACATATATAAGGAAGATATTTATAAATAGCTCTAAAATTTAAGACCAGTACTTGGAAAATTTTAGTATTTTATGTTATATGAGAGGAGGGAGACTATCTTACCTGTGGGTAAGATGGGTCAACATTTTTGGTACTTTAGAGTTTCTAACAGAGACGATGGTAATCTTCTTGTTTATAAGTATGTCTGAAGGATGAAACATAAGTACAGCCATCTCAGCAGAAGAAAAAAATTGGTTGTGAAAGGCCAGCAATGTGGTGTCCTATCTGTTTGGTACAAATAGTTTCAGGATTTTTTGGGCAGCAATCAGCGAGTAATAAAATGTTCGTATTAAGAAAATACATTGTATTTCTGTTTTTAATTTCACCCACTTTGTACTACTACCTTCTCTTGCATCTGTTTTCTAAATCTATGGTTTGCTAAAGTTTAGATTCTTCCATTTTTGCCCTTTAGTGCTTATTTCTGTAGTTATTTGGCATCCCTGCTGTTTACTTCTCATCCTTTCCTCAGTCCCAGACTCAAGAGATCCAGAAACCTCATTCAAGTGATCTTGAGTTCAGTGGGGGCTAACAGGAGATTCTGGAGAAAAGAATTATCTGCTGTGTGGTCTGTTAAATTCAACCTGGAGTTTATTTCACAGATTTTTTTTTTGTATGATTGTAGCTGTCGTTAATTAAAAGATGCTGAGTAGAGATAACTATGATCTGGGATTAGAGAAGAATATTAGAAAAGAATATGGCAACAACTGAGAGGAAAACAGGCTAAAAAAAATGTGCAGAGGAGAAGATGTGTATGGAAACATGGCAGACTGAATGGAGAAATCATCGTGGAGCTAAAGAGAGGCAACTGGAGTCAAGTGCAGTAAAGCCTAGAGCATGAGCAAGACAGTAGAATACCATGTTCAAAAAGCCAGAAGGAATCGTACCAGCACAGAATGATGTAGAAAAAGCAGAAAGAAAAGAACAAGTCAATATGCTATAAAAAATGGCAGTACAAAAATAAGCATTAATGAAAAAAAGATAGGTTGCTATTAACCATGCAGCAAAATCAGAATGAATTAAAAAAAGAGATGATGAAATAAGAGGTGGAAGAGGAGGGGAACAAAAAAACCCACTCAGTGAATGAATACAAACAACTGTGAAGCCAGATACGAAGATCAGCAAGTCCTACTGATCGTGTTAAACACAAGCTCAGAAAATATCTCCAATGGTTTTCCTTCTCACTTCTTAAGTAGTTCAAATAAAAATTCCAAATTATTTTATTATGCTTATAATTAAAAAGTATAGTTTTATCGGTGGGTGGTTAGCTTTTCAGTTTTGTTTGATTGCGTTCTTTGTTTTGGGGGAGTTTTTTTTTTTTTGTTGTTTTTGTTTTAGCTTGGCTGTATTTCTCATCCTGTTTTATATTTTGCTTGTGGAAATGTGTTTCATATTTCTCTATGTAGAATGTGTTACACTACAAGCATGTACATGTTTCATGAGTCAATGCTATGCAGAATGTAGTCTCCGAGGTGACAGTTATGTAGAACTACTGAAGCATTTCTTATGTTTTATTTATTGTTCTATTAAGTAGTTCGAGTAATGAACTTGCTTTGAAATCCCACAAATGAAAACAAATTTCAGTCATTTATAGTTGTCGATAATTTTTTTACATTTAGCATCATGAAAAGCGGAGTAGAATGGGAGTTCGTGCTGATCTTGATCTGCTTCGTAAAGCTTTTGCAGCTGTGTAGATGATGACAAAAATCCCCCAGGGTTTCCACACCCAGGAGATAGGGTGCTTTGCAACCATCTGTAGGGTGGCATCCCATAATTTGCTGAGAATCCTCACTGGCAATGAATTTAATTAAACAGTGTCTAGACACAGTTTGTGCCGTTGTTTTTTGCAAGTTCTTTTTCTAAATGATTTTTAAATCACACCTTTGGTGAAACTGATGGAACTCTGTTGCTTTGCTGTGGACCAGGCCTTGGAGTTAGGGGCATTCAGCACCCAAAGGGATGCTTAGCACCTTGTGTTATTCAGTCTCTATAACAACACATAGATGTTGCATGAAGTAACTTCTAATATTATTTTCATGTGCAACTCTGAAATGTCTCAAACATTTCTCCACATTGTATCTTGCTACAGAAATATCATGCTTCGGCTATGAGCTTTTATGCCAAAGATCCTCAGGGGACAAGTGGAGGCTTGCACCAGATACAGATGACTGTATTAGTTTCCATAAAATCCAAGAAAATTATTAAATGGAGTTTATTTTGTAGTGCAAAAAAGCTTTAATTTTTAAATAGTTTTAATGTTTTTTTTAATTTTTTTCTTTCAACTAAGGAAATGCTACTTCACCGCAAGTTCAGAGACCTTCTTTCATGGACTACTTTGATAAACAAGATTCCAAGAATAAAAGCCCTGAAAACTGTAATCAGAACATGCATGAACCATACCACATATCCAAAAACGTTTTCCCTGATAACTGGAAGGTCCCTCAAGATGGAGACTTTGATTTCGTAAGTACATTTTTGTTGTTTACTTTCTTGCATGTTTTTTATTTTATATGTGCCAAAAATAGTTAATCACTTTATATAACTATGTTAATACATGTGAAATAAGTAAACTTTCAGGAATACCATCCAGTTATCTAATCTTAATGCCTCATCCTGGTTGTTGAAAGAAGTATATTTGCTTAATGCAGGACCTTTTTAATGAGGCATGGTGTGTGACATTATGAATATATTTCTTTGTAACTACTTTTTTTTTAAAGTATTTTTCATTCTTTATAATTTGTTTGTTAAAACAACTTCAAAATTTGACCCAGTTCTATTTGGAAAAAAATAAATTGCTACAGGCATGGAATATTGTTGTCGTGTTTGCTGAGATATTCAGCAAAATGTTAAGCATTTTAAACTAGTTTGGAGCCATTTAATCAGTCTCCTTGGAGATGGTTAAGATGACCTACTGTTTTGTGCAAGCCAGCTTGTTGGTACTACTCAAATAGCATGCATCTCTCTACATAAAATTATTCTATCTAACACCAGTCTGGCTGTTTTAGGGTGGGGTTTTTCCTCCTCCAAAATATGTGTAGTTTATTTCTTTTTGCCTATGTTGCAAATTGTAATTGTTCCTAAGTTATAGGTTCCACTTGAAGTCAAATAAAGAATTACTGTTTAGACACTTATAGATAATTTGAAAGAAATAATTCCTGTTTAGACGCTTATAAATAATTATACCTTGTTTTCACCTTTGTTAATTTTTAAACATATTTGAATGAATTTCATTTGTCTGTTGTAGATTAAGTATGTTCTTAACTGCAGTGCAGTAGCTAAATAAGATCACATGGCACCTTTTTGAAAGTACACTTGGGATTTGGAGAAAAATGTTCTGTTTAATTTTAGGTGACAGCTGTAGGTGTGGGATTTTTTTACCAGTTTTCACTTACTGCATTTCTACATAAAGCTCACTCTTAAGTTTAAGCTACTGGAGTAAAGCCAGCTAAACAGCACAGTACAAGCTGTTGCTGCTGGAGAGTTTTGATTAAGTTGGATTTTGGTCTGGTTGGGGTTTTTTTAGGCTTTTTTTAACCATAAAATGCAACAGTCATCATCCTGATAATTGACTAACAAAATAATTATTTGCACTCTTTATTGGAAAATAACTGGCTGTTATTTAAGTGGGGTTATTATAGTGGCAGTAATATCTTTTCTATTACTTGTTAACAAATGCGAGCAAAAACTATTCTTGTAAATGCTAGGATCCTGATTCTGTAAGTGCTTACTAATGAGTAATTCACAGGGGGATAGTGCTGTGGAAGTTGTTTACATTGCTTGTGCATATGAAGTTGCCTTCTTGAAATAGGGATTTGTTCTAGAACTAAACCTGAGGAGGTTTGATCTTCAGAGACTGACTGCTCTCTGTGTTGTAGGCAAACCTTGCTAGTGGTCTTAGACTGGCAAGTCAAAGGCTCCAGAATCATTCCATGAATCATAGAATGGTTTGGGTTGGGAGGGACCTTTAAAGGTCATCTAGTCCAGCCGCCCTGCCATGGGCAGGGACATCTTTCACTAGATTGCTCAAAACCCTATCCAGTCTGACCTTGAACACTTCCAATGATGGGGCATTGACAGTTTCTCTGGGCAACCTGTGCCAGTGCCTCACAGAAGTTACGTGATGTGCAGTTTGTCCTTGTCTTGGACAACAAAATTCAAGGTTGTAAGGCTGGTTGCTACAAAATGATTCTGATTGAAGACCAAATAGGATTTTTAAAAAAGGTGAATAGCTATTTACATGGGCAATGTATGTAGTTAGTTGGGAGGGGAAATGGGATTTTGTTTTAAGCGTGACAAAAGCCAAATAGTTCCATAGTTAAGCCACCCTAAGAAAGAGTTTCGGAAGACTCTTCGGTAATGGATGTACTGCTTGGGAGTAGTCACCTCAAGAAGATGTTTCTCTGAAGCATCTGGTACTAGCTGGTGTCACACAGGATGTTGGTTTTAACAGCCTGCTGGTTTGAACTATAGGCAATTATTATTTATTTATATATTCCAGAAGCACTTCTATTTACATTTTAGACAGCAAGTGGCAGTATTGGTAAGTGGCCTGCAAGAGACTTTGTGAAAGGATAGATCTGTGGGCAGCATGCATAATATATTGTCTGCTCTTTGTGAGATCAACATGAGTGTTTTCAGTTGCTGACATGAAGTCTTTAAATGATTTATAAAAGGGATAAATAATGGAAAGTTGTTGTACTAAATAATTCCATTCTGTTTAGCGTGGAATTAGCCTTAATGGAATCTAGAAAGTGACCCTAACAGTAAATGCTGACAGTCATCATTTCATTTAAAGAAGGGATTGATACACTAGAACTAAAATATAAATCATCAAAATCTAACTTAATGCTATATAGTCTAATAGTACTTCAGCTTTGCGTGTAGGAGAGGAGGGATGCTCTGTAAGCTGGAGGTCACCAAACCCATTTGCTGAATGATAGTATTATTCTTGCTTACCCATATACCCTTGTGAGCCATACACAGCAGGCCAGTGCTGGCAGCCAACAAGCGCTTTAGGTGTGATCCAGGGCAGAATGACAGCGCCATGCTAAGCACAGATATTTGACTGTATCAAATGGAAAGACTTAGAAGTTTATTAGTGTATGTGTCTGTTACAGCAGAAACTAGAGGACCAGAAATTGAGGTAGGAAGGAGAAGGGAAAAGGAAGAAAAATGATCCTTATAAGTCCCTGCAACTAATCAGGCTGCTTAATTCTGTGTATAAGGTGAGACCTGCAAGAACTGGGAGCTAATTCTTGTGGCCAAATGGTATATTTCCTTTAGGTTGCAGTGATATTTTATCCTATTCCTAGTATGTTTTACTGTTGGATAAAACAATGCGTAGTTACTTGATTTGTTTAAATGTACAAATCACAGAATCACAGAATAGTAGGGGTTGGAAGGGACCTCTGTGGGTCATCTAGTCCAACCCTCCTGCCGAAGCAGGGTCAAATCCATGTAATGCAGATATAGCAGTTTGCCTTACACACCTGCTGATGTTTTTAGATAATGTAAATAAATGATACAGGAAACTTTCCTTGTGAGGTGGATCAGTGAGTGCATAAAATAATGTAAAATGAATTTAGCACTAAATCTGGTTTGAAAGTTTTGTGTGGACATAGTTTTCTGCCCTGATCTATATGCTTTAAAAACTTCTTGCCAATGAAAATAGAAGACTTTTCCAAGAAAATGAGATGCTTTGGTCACCAATCTGAGCTTTAAAAAAAGTAATTTTAGCAGCATTTTTTCTTCTGTAAATACATATTTATGCTTTGTTGTTCACTATTGAAGTACATCTGTTTTGAAATTCAAAAGCTGAAGTTGTTTCTTTTTCACTAATGCCATATGGGAACTTGAGATGTGTTTCTGACTGTTGGTCCTGCAGGCCTTCAGTTCCCTGATCAGTCCGTGCTGGTTATTGATGTAAAGTTCCATGAATTGATGAGAAAAAATTGCCAGTGCAGACCTTCAGATTTCACATTGTGTTGAATCGGGTATATATTGCAAATAACTTTTAACTAGATTTAGTTCTGATACTGTATAGTCAGCTTGAATATTGCATTATTCCAAATTAACCCTGTTATGTATGCTGCAGGACTAAGGTGCTGTTTTTCATGCTTAGTAGGTGTTTGTGGTTTTTGTACTACATCTCTTCTTGCTGTTTAGAAAAAAAACAACCAACACCAGATGTTTTTGAACATTGTCTTTTCTGTGACTAGGGATAGGGTTGCTTTTGTTTTATCTTTGTTTTCAGTTATTTTGTTGTCTATTTTTGTTGTCTCGTGATAAATTCTGACAACCAAAAGTATGGGTCTTTTACATCAGTGAGTATTAGGGAAATGTTTTTCTGGGGAAGTACTTGTAAATGTTTTGTTTCTTTCTGGTTTATTTTCCACTTGAGTTTTTGAAATGAAACTGTTGAAGCTTGGATTGGATATAAATCTTACAAAAAACAAACTAGTGTTTATTCAAACTTTAGCTTTTGTATTAAACTTTTAATATATATTTCACCCTCAAGGATCATTGTGGATTTTCATTTTCAATGAACACAGTTGGACTATAGGCAATTCTTTCATACCTTTTCATTATTTTTAAAGGGCACACAGCAGATTGCAAACTTAAAGCAACATTTTTAACCCTAATTCTGCCAGTTTTACTTGGGGTTAAGTGATGTTTTATTCACAGCAACCTTGATGCCAGTAAGTCTTAATCAACAAGATACTACTCATTGTGAGGAAAAGTGACATAATGTCTTTGAATAACTAAATATATGGTAAAGCTATATAGTTGTACAGGTGTGATGTTCACAGAAATGTTAATGATGCATGGTAGAAGCAGCTTTTCATAATAAAGCTTAACTGTTTCATGGGCCAACTTTTAGCTCACAAATGAGCAGTTCAGATCAGAGTGCCGAATTATAGTAAATGGCGTGTTTGTTTTGACCATCCAAGTGACTAGTCCTTTTGAGAACAGTTGTTTTTTATAGATATTATGTATTCGTGTGACCGTGTTGCTGTTATGATAGCTTTGTTCCTTCCACGGGGAATGTTTTCCATGAGATATGTACATGCTGGAGAGAGCTGTATATTAAATGAGCAGTAGAACAACAAGGTGGTGTTGAAGCAGCTTGCTCAAATTTCCTTTTGTCTTTAACAGTTGAAGATCTTGTGATATTTTGTGTAGCATTTATCACGTTTTTATGGGCATTGCAGAAGACAGTTTTCACTGAAAAAAGATGAAC